TGTAACATGTCTTCTTTTATTTTCCTAATAAAATTTTGCACACTTGCAAATGTATATATTATGTAATCTAATTATAAAGCACATACACTGTATCGAACTCAACATCCAGAACGTAAACACACGCATATTTTTGCATGTGTTTGTAATCGAATATTTGGAATTGTGCAGCATCATGCCTAAAAAAAAACTGCATCCTGCCTTGAGTCACAAACGTTCCTTGGGAATTATCTTTTTTGGTTCCCGTTAAAAACATAAGACAGGAGCAAAAAAAAATCTATCACCAATGATGTCTAAAGATATAAGCTTTAAGTTCGAAACTGACATTTAATATGCAGTGTTGATTATTATGTCCACAGTGTTTATATTTATAAAAACCCTATCCTTTATATGGATCACCTCTCACCCCCTACAAATATAACAATAGTATAATTTTATATAGTATGTATCTATTTACTAAATTCAGCATCGTCTGACACAAGGCTGCAATCGTGAGGCGCATAGTGAGTATCGAAATCACTATTGTTGCGTAATGTTCCAAAAGGCAAGAGTGGTAACCATGGTAACCACCGCTCTTTCGAAAACACGTAGTAATTTTTTTATTACTTGTATTATTTACATTATTCGGGCTGTTATCCTCATCTTCATTGCCACATTCACAACGTTTCAGCCATTGAACGCTCCAGCCTTCTTCAGATAATTGGAATTTTGAACTGAACTCTTTATTTTGTCCACCTGGATAGATTGCTTTAGTTCCACGTGCCATGCCTCTTCCGGATGTCTCGGTTATTTCCCTTTTAATTCAACTCTCCAAGTTTTAGTTCACCACTGCTGTGGCCTGGTATTGAACTCATAACTCTTCGGGTCTAGTCACTGGATATAATTAACATCTTTATCCATTGGGCCATGTTGGACGAAATAAAGTGTTCGATTCGAAATTCCATTCAATGAAGAAGGCCGTAGCGTACAACGGCCGAAATGTTGTGAATATGACAATGAAGCTGACGATAAGTCTCAATAATGTAAATAATACAAAGTAATCATAATACTTAATCTCAGATATAGACAGGCATTTTTTGATCTTTAAAAATTTAAATGCAACGTCACTCATCCTATGGCTTCGTAATTCCTGTTCTTTTATTGTTCTCTCTTTAAGTGTTTTTCTTTTTATCATATTCTCTCACACGCAGTAATCCCTTGCAGCTTAGTGGCTTTATTATCTTTCTTAGCTTAAGATTATCGCACAAAATTTCATAACTGAATCAATTAAGTTGTCGAAACCGACGGGAAAGTCCATTTTATATATATATATATATATATATATATATATATATATATATAAACGCGCGCACGAATAAAATGTATGTATAAAGCTGTTTGAATGTATTTCCATTTCAAAGAAAAATGCTGGATTGCCATTTACGTTAATCAATTACAACTCATAATCTAATTATCATCATTTCATCTACTATTTCTAATGTTATTGATATTATAATTGCCAGCATCACTTGTAGTTGTGGTGATATTAGAAGTAGTAGTAGTAATTGTTGGGCAATTGTTCCTCCGCTATTTATTGATCATGTCGAGCGTCCATTATAAAGAGCTTGTCTCGTGCACTCTCGCGAAAATTTCCCGATCAGCATCTTAAATCACAACGGAGACGCGTTCGGTAACTGTCAACAAACTCTTCTGGCCTTTCTTAGTCGTTTTTGTTTCGTTCATTTTTTTCATGCCTTATAATTTACAAACGGACATTTTTTTCTACATGGACAAAACGTGTGCAGCCGCCTTACAGATCGTATAGAAACCAGTTAAGTATCTAATTGTATTTCGTTCATAATCTTGTACTTTTTTCTCGCTATCATTTTTTTCCTTTTTTTTTATTTTAAATTTAATCTCTTTTTTCTTTTATTTTATTTATATTCTTTATTGTGTTTTTGTATTTTTTTTTTATTTTTTCTATATTCTTCCTCTAATTTCCTTTTCTTTTCTTTCTTCCATTTAGTTTAGTCTCAATTCTTCTTTCGAATTATTTCCATGACACACGTTCTTTTTTTCGCTTTCCTTTTTCTTTCTCTCTCTCTCTCTTTCTCCTTATTTTCGTTATATTTTTTCTGTTTACAGATTTTTTTTTCTTAAATTTTTCTTCCTTCGTCTTTTACATAATTTCTCGTTCAAATGAATTCCTTTTTTACATCTTATCTCCATTATTATTACTAAATTTGCACGCTAATTTGTGTATACATTTTTAGTATGTATACATTTAAGTTTTAAGTTAAGAAAGTTCATATATATTGATCAATCTCTTAAACTGTCAGAAATGGCGGAATTACTATGAAACTAATAAGTTTCCGGGCTCCTAAACCCGGAGAAGCCCCTGAAGCAACTTTTAATGAGTGAATTTTTCAGTGTTTTTAATTGTTATTAAAATAAGGCCGTTTTAGTGATAGAATCATAAGCCAATGGAGTTGAAGTAGCTAACGTTGGCCTTAAAATATGCTGTAATACTCATTTCATATGGCCTCAAAATTCCCCCGTAATTGTTGAAATTTTAAAATTTTCGTGGAGGCTTTCAGTGCCCGAGCCCCCAGCTGCATGGACTCGTTGAGCATGCCAGAATCTATTCATAACCTACATTTTGGCAGTTGGATTCTCGAATCTACTGTTGCTGTTTGCGAAGGGGTCCCCATATCGATTCAAGGTTTATGGCCCCCAAAATATAGATCTGCTATTGCCTGTCTGGTTACGTAGAGATTCTCGTGTTTCGCCAGCTATTTCAAAAAACCAGAAATCACCCCCGCCACCCAAATATTAATCTGTTTATTATTTATTTTTCTTTGAATGAAGAACCCTTTTTGGGTAATTTAATTTCTTGAACCTTGGATAGCACTATACACACACACACACACACTAACATTTATATATATATATATATATATATATATATATATATATATATATATAGTGAATAGTGAAGTCAAAACTCAGAGTGACAAGCTGTTTCATGCTAGGCACAATCGTCTAGCATGAAACAGCCTGTCACCTCTGAGTGTGGACTTCACTGTTCACTTTTATATTTACATACGCTCTCTGATAGTGAGCACTTTATCCCATACATATAGCACCCTTAAAACTATATTTCTTTTATATATATATATATATATATATATATATATATATATATAGTGGGTGTGTACAGTGTGCGATGGATAACTTGTCGACTGCTCAGTATAGTAGGGTCAGTTGGGCATCGTCTGTGAGAAAAAAACTGCGCCAGAAATTTCACTTCGCCAGAAATTTGGAAATGGCATGCCGTACAGCTTGGTATTCGCGCCGGAAGTTTCATTAGGAACATTTCAGAGTGTTTGGGTGTCAATCTGAGGACAGTGCAGAGGATGCTGTGTCACGAAAAGATATACCATGGGTGATGCAAACCAAATATGCCGTCAGCAGCATGGTGTTTGGAGTGATCATTAGTGATGGTGACGTTATGCCTTCATTCATCTTCCCATAGGGCCTCAGGCTTAACACATCGTGCTTTGAGGAAGTAGTGCTATCCTGGGTCAAGATTCTACACCATAGCACACAAGCAGAAGAACTCAGTCATGGAAGTCAGACAATTTCTGCGACCGCATCACCCCGTACATCTGGCTACCTAACCCCCTTGATTATGTGTGGGGCATAGTTGAGCAAGAGACCAACAAAATTCCTTGTAACACCAAAGATGAAATGAAGTCAAGGATTATGGTAGCACTTATCAACTTAATTAAGGAGACCGTGCAGAAGAGTTGCAGGAGGCTGTGGTTGAAGCCGATGACGATTTTATTGAATACATTTACTCTTTAGTATTTGAAGCTATGTTTGTGTAATCCTGGTAAATATATCTGTTAAAATTAGATGTCAGTGTTATTTTCATTTTTGTGTAATTTAGACGACAATTTATACATCGCACCCTATATATGTATATATGGTGTGTGTATTTGGGTAGAAATTTTTAATTTATGCCTTTTCTTTAAATATCAACAAACTTCCTTGTCTTTGATGTTGGTTAACGTTAACCAAAAGTACTTAGATAAGGGAAAATATATTTTCAAATATAAATTTGAAATCAAGAAAATGACATCAAATAAATAAATATTTATTAAAAAAACCTTTATTACTTGCATTATTCGGACTGTGATCCTCGTCTTCATTGCCATATTCACAACGCTTCGACCTTATCTCAGAGATAGACAGATATTGAAGAAACCTTCGTTTATATTTAACCAAACTTTACATATTACTATTATTATTACTTCAAGCGTTATTTTTTAGTAGATACCCGTATTTGTAAAGACGCTCCTTTTTTATCTTAAACGGTATTTATTTCATTTACGGCCACTCGATTATTAAGGAAAGTGTGTCCTCAGTCTGGATTCGAACCTGCGACCTGCGACCCACTTTACTGCCAGGTATGCTTTAACCACTCGGCCACAAAGAGCTTCACAATGAAGCAAGGTTCTTACAAAAATAACATTTTTGTAATTAATGAAAAATATGTCAGATTAAAAAATAAGATCCATTACTATTCCACCGTGCCTGGAGTAATGGATAGCGGCTCGGATTGAGGAATCGGAAAGCCGAGTTCGAATTCCAGTCGAATCCATTACATACACTTACGTGCTAATGGTATGAATCCTCTTCTCTCCACCACCACCCACACAGCTATGGGTAAATAGTAGAACAGAACGGGTTCGACTTTCATGGCAACTGGTCTACCGCAAAAAGAAATGGCAACCAACTGCGGGGAAAATCTGCCTCGTCAGTCATGTATCTTTCGATACATGATCGCCTAAGCGTGTATCACGCATGGCACATAACCCCTGACATGAGAATGTCAATCAGTTATCTATAATTTCTCATTCTTTTTCTTGTCTTCCTCGTCTCGCCTTTAAATGCATTATTTTCTTTCAGGCATTTTTTTTATTAACGAGTAATTGATTGCGTCTCTCCTTAACGTTATCAACTTTTTCAATGTCTTTCTTAACATTTCTATGTCTCGTGTTCTTTAAGAAGTAGAATCCATGATAATAACCATTCCTTTCATTTTATACTTCATAAAACCTCGTTTCATTACATTTCAATAGACATCGCTTCAAGCTTTTCTTTATACAGAATAATGAATAAATCGATAAACATCTTTTTTAAAAAAAAATTGTTCCTTGACATTAGAACCTTCTCAGATTTGATGAGTCTTTTAATTTTCATGACAGAACCGGTTTTATTCTTGCAACAGATGTTTTTTACACGACGCTGAAGCGCGCATGAAATCGTTAACCTAGGCCCAACGGCAATAAATATTCGTCAATGATTAAGAGAGAGAACTTTCTTTCTTGAGATAACATACAATATAATTTCTTTGTCTCACCGCCGATTCTCCTGCGCGCATCTTGTAAAAAAAAGCATCGAGTCAAAACTAATTAATGGTTTTACTACTACTACTAATTATTATTATTATTATTATTATTAATAATATTATTATTATTAACAATAATAATAATATTACCTACCGCAGGTTTTAATCAGAGGCGTCAAGAGACAACAAGTATTTGTGCCTAAAGTGCTTACAGAAGAGTATTTTTTTCTTTTTCAGAGTGTGGAAAATGTTCAAAATTTGTGCAGTAAAAAAATCTCATAATTTATTAATTTATTTAATTTTATTCCATAATGTGCATGATTACCAGGATATCATTAAAAGACACTTCGTAAAAATATAGACATGTTTTAAAAATTCATTTATCTACGTGATAAGAATTTTTGCATAAGTTGGGTGAGGAATCCGTGTGTTTTGTTTTGTTTAGGTTTTTTGGGGGGTGGGGAGGGGATGTTTTGTTTGTTCTTTTCGTTTTTTGTTTGTTTGCTTTTTCTTTTTGTTCTTTTGGTTCCTTTGTTTTTAGGGTTTTTTTGTTTGTTCTTTTTTTGTTTGTTCTTTTTTAGTTTGTTCTTTTTTTTGTTTGTTCTTTTTTTTGTTTGTTTTTTTTTTTGTTTGTTCTTTTTTTTGTTTGTTCTTTTTTTTGTTTGTTCTTTTTTTTGTTTGTTCTTTTTTTTTGTTTGTTCTTTTTTTTCGTTTGTTCTTTTTTTTCGTTTGTTCTTTTTTTTCGTTTGTTCATTTTTTCGTTTGTTCATTTGTGTTTTTCGTTTGTTCATTTGTGTTTTTCGTTTGTTCATTTGTGTTTTTGTTTCGCTTTTAATTTACATGTTTTGAGATTGTGATGAATTCGAGCAGCATATTTACATCTTTCGACACCATTCCCAGTGCTCAAATGACTACAAGTTTCTTTTATTTTTATTTTTTTCTTTGATATGCTACATTCTACCAGTCACAAGATCTGTGTATTTGCTTAGTTTCTCAACTGTTTTGAGAGAGGTATTGTCAGCTGTGATTGTGACATCTATCAACAGACACGTCTTTTCATCATGATTTTTAACGATAACATCTCGCCGATTGGCCTGGATTTCAGTCTTCTCACTAAAATTCCAAAGGACTGTGGCATTTGCATTTTTGCACAACTTCGCTGAGTTTTTATTCCCATTCCGTGATGGAGGTCAAACGCCCACCATCTTGTGTATGTACTGGGATAACCTAACGTGCCGTTGTAAATACTCTGTTGGTGCCAACTGACTGCACCTACAGATTGTGGTCAATTGTCTCTGCTTGCTCACACACATACACACACGTAATAATGCACTGATATTAACTTTCATAACTGATAATTTGTAGTTTGGAGTCATCCTGGGCATCAACAATGTGTGTGGCTTTAGGCCAGAACCTGGCAACCCCAGGTGAGTTAAAAGTTTGATCAGCATCTAGTTTGACGGTTCTATTAGTGGTAGCTGTCATGCATTGGGTCTTGTGCCCATTTTTCTTAGTATATTGGAGGCTAGTTTGTTCAGTCTTGAGTTTGTTTTTTTGTTGATTTTTTTTTTTTCGCTAATTTCATTTGGCTCCCATTATCTTCATTGGACTCTATTTCTTCCAGTTTAATTTCTTGTAAATATTTTGTTGCGCCCTTCTTCATGGATTGCAACTTTATATTCCTTTCATGTTTTAAAACCAGTTTTAAAATTCAGTCTTTGGTTTGTTGTTCTGGCGGATTTTCCATAAAAGATGAAGTTAAATCCATCCACGACCTTCTCCTTTTCTCATGAAGTTCGAGCGATCCATGTCTGCTGATGGATGCAATGCATTAACAGTAACTTGTGAATTTTAACATCTGTTTCGTTAATTTCTACGATTGTCCAGTCGGTGATATTGAAGCTATTATTATTACATGAAAATATTACTTTCTGTTGATTTGTTAAATTAAATATTTAGAGGGTCCTTCAAAGATAATGCCTAAATTTAATTTGCAAAGCATTAGTCAGAATTGCTACATTTTTTGCTGTAGACCATAAATGTTTGGAAACCCCCGGGATAATTTTAGTTACTTTCACCTTTCCTAACCCATAACCAACTTTCAAAATGGCCGCTCCGCTGAATACGTGTAGAATTTTAAATTCCATTTTAGAACCTTCAAAATGTTAGTTAATTTTCTTTTCTCCCATCAGCAGGTGACCATAAATTAGTATAGGAAATTTTAACATCTGTTTTTGTTTTGGTTTTTGGTTTCGTTTTATTTTTTTGTTGTGGTGAGAAACACATTGATTTGGAAATTCTTGCAAACATCAAATAATGGTCGGATTTTAATGAAACTTTCAGGACTTATTCACAAATTAATAAAATTATTTCAGAGACGTTTCTTTTTTAGAAAATATTGATTTTATATATATATATATATATATATATATATATATATATATTAACACTCACCCCGTCATTTATTTAATTTATGAAATTTTAAAAAATGCATTTTTTGAACAGCTTAATTTTATATTAGCTATAAGCAGGAGTCTTTGGAGAACTTAAATCATTTTTTATTCAAAACAGCACAGGAGTTAAAAATCTCATTCGAATCATATAAAATGCAATAAAACTAAGACATTATTTAATTAGAAAAGTTTTTAATTGCTTTCATGAATAAGATATATTATGGACACTATTGTCTTAAGAAATTTTTTTCGTTGAATAGTGAATTTTTACAAGAATTGAATCCTTTTTTTTTTAAATTTCAATTAGAATAATTTATGAACTTAAAAATATTACAATTATGTACTAATTTGTACAGGATAGGTGACACTGTTATCAAGTAAATCTATAAATGCAAAAGCTTACGACAATTCAGTGATCCACAGTATTTTAAAAAGGATTTTTTAATTTTTTTGTGTGTATAAACTTACCGATTTTCTAAATACGGACGTTCATACATGACATTATCATAAAATAATAACAGTAGCTCTAGTACATCTAAAAGTTAATGTACCTAAAATTCAATAAAATACTAGATTATTTTTATAAATTTTTAAGATTATTGAGTCATTAAAAATTACAGAAAAAACACCCACGTTTTATTTGTCAAGTAATTTTTACGTATATATCTACTATAGAAAAAATTAATTTCTCAAGCATCAGGCTGTCAATAGAGCTGTCAACACCTCATAAAAACACCTACATCCATGTTAACAATTCTTTTCTGCAATATTTTAAACTAAAAGTAATATTTGTTTCATATCAGATTGATTAAACTTTATATCTGCTAATCTTCCAAAAATAAAGTTTAAGAAAAATTATATTTTATTTTTGAAAGATATTTTAATAAAGAGAATTGTTGTGCCGAAAGAATTGTAAATATGGCTAAAATCAGCGATTCTTAGCGATAAAAACTCCTTCCGGTCAATTTAAATTTGTTTTGAAATTCAACAAAGTATTTTGTTTATTGACAGTATTAAATTTAACCTATTACACTAGAATAAAAGTTTCAAGAATGATTTTTTTTTTTTCATTATTAAAAATCCATTTTGAACCGCAGGTATCGCTTTTCTTTGGAGATACATACATACATGCATGCATATCTTTGGACATACATACATACATGCATGCATATCTTTGGAGAGACATACATACATACATATCTTTGGAGAGACATACATACATACATGCATGCATATCTTTTGACATACATACATGCATGCATATCTTTTGACATACATACATGCATGCATATCGTTGGAGATACATACATGCATAAACAGTGGGTAACGGAAAGACAGAACGGATGCTAGGTTATGCAACTCTACCGGTCATCCAAATTTTAAAAACAAATTTTAAAATTTTGATGAAACCGGCGTTTGTTATATTTCTTTCTGCTCACTGTATCATAAAAACCGGCTTCATCGGAAAAACAAACAAAAAATAGTATTACACTGAAGATGTTTTTTTTTCTGTGGTCGAAACTCTGTTTTTCACACACAAATATATATATATATATATATATATATATATATATCTAGAGAGAGAGAGAGAGAGATAATGTAAGAGAGAGAGAGTGTGTGTAAGTGAGTTCACAAAAATGTATATATACTTCAGAAAAAGAACAGCTTGTATAGCTATTGTAATAGTAAATTTATTCAGGCATCACATGATTGATGCAACTTGTATTAATCTCGTGACGTCTGAATAAATAAGCTTTGGATTCTACAATCATAAGAAATGTTCAAAATGGTGGCCACTAGCTTCCAGACATTTATTACAGCAAACTACCGCTTGGGAAACGTTGGCCAAAATCTCCACTGGGATTGTTACGCATGCATTTTAAATTTTTTGTGTAAGAGCCGCCGGTGTAGCCGGTTTTCTGCAATGCCCAACATCTTCTAGGGCTTGTTGATGATGCTACAGCCATGAGAGTGGGGCGTAACGCTATCTGTGGAGAAAATACTAGAGTAAAGTGTAAATTTGATAAAACTGTGAAAGGTTTTTTTTTTCCTTTTCGCAAGTGTGTATACATTTTGGGGGTCTGATTCTTTGTATGTGTTCGTATGTAGGTAGGTAGTGGAAGCTTACGACTATATTACGTTGAAGCACCGGTTCTCATACGATCATCAAAGTTAAGCAACGTCGAGCCTGGTTAGTACCTAGATGGATGACTGCTGGGAATACCAGATGCTGTAAGCGGCGGGCAATAGGAAATCGGAGTGCAGAGTTCAAATTTAAATTGGGTTTGTTATATTTATTTACACGCAAATACCATTGGGGAAAGGTAGAAATTCACCTATTCTCCGTTGCCACCCGCCAGCTATGGGTCAGTTAGTAGGACTTGTATCAGTAAATCAGGATTATCTCAAAAATTTCGTACAATTTAAAAATATATTTCGACGTTATGCAGAAGGTTGATAGGATTTAAAAACAAATAGAACATATAGTGGACTCTCCTGTGGAATTCGACATACGAAGACCCAACAGATTTTTTAAAAGAATTGCTAAAGGAGAAACGGTACACGGTGTGCCATGAAGTTTCCATCAGCCCTATTTAGGCTGAAATTGCGATTTCGACTGTTTTTCAACCAAAATTAGAGAGCTCGCTCTGTCCGATGTACTTTTGCGAAATTGAATATAATAAACGAAACCTTCACTTCTACGTACCTCTAAGAATAAAATTTACTAATGTTCGACATTTCCTTCAAATAAATTTGTATTAGTGAAATACTAATATATATATATATATATATATATATATATATATATATATATATACGAAATGAACTAAGTTCGACAGTTATTTTTAAAATATTTATTGTTTATACGTTATTTTTATAGATACAAATATTTAAGTAAATGCTCGGTTAATAATAAACGGTATTGACATTTACTGGCCTGAATGTCCGAGTAATCTCATAGAAAATATGTGTCCTCCGACAGGAATCGAACCTGTATCCTATAAGTAACCGTCATATAGCCTGGTGTGCGATGCCATTTAGCTAAAAAGGAAGCGTCTGGTAACCAAGGTCGAATTACTGCTTTTAAACTACAAGTTTCCCATGATTTCTCTCGAACGCTTATATCTTATCCAAGTGCATCTTAACGTAGACAAATGACGTCATATATTATGGAATATTATTTAAAAGCAGTAATAACCATAACCTACAAATATAGCATAAATCAAAACGTGTGTGTATGATTGAATAAATTACAAACTGTGGCTGCTTATTTTTCTAATAATCCTTTCATATTCACGAATATTTTTCTGTATATTACAATAGCGCAAGAAATGCCCTGTAACATTTTATTGTAATATAAGGGAAAATATTCGTAAATATGAAAGGATTATAATAAAAATAATCAGACATAATGTTAGTAATTTATTCAATCAGACATGCCTAAAAGAGAATTTGCTGCCTAAAAAATATATATATATACAATCAATACCCGGAAGTGACAGTTTGTTTCATGTTAAACGCAATCGTCAAGCCATACGCTGTATCTCTGATAAATGTAGCATACCTTAAAACTATATTTTATTATATATGAGTAAAGGCAAAAGGAAATATATTTATGAGTGTTGTTTAATTTAAAAATCTTTAAAAAATCCAACGACATTTTTACTTCTGTTTATAAATCCCGATTACAAAATAAAATCTTTACATTCGCCTTGATGAAGTCCAATGGCCGAAATGCATCGGCTAAAATTGGATTTCCTTTTGTCTTTACTTATGTTGTCTTTTTTTTACAGATATATTTTTAACTGTATCTGAATTTTTACATAAATAACCAATCTCGATATAGAGAGAGATTTTGTCAAGATCGCCTTTTATGTGTTTGTGCAATATTATAAGTGAATCTTCTAAGCCAACATTTGTGGCTGTTCGTAGGACGTGGGGTGAGAGGTTGTAATTACGTCAGCAGTGTTTCATAAATGGCGGGCAGGGGGGTGAGGCGGTGCAAAGAAAGCAGTCAAATCTTTATGTCAGCACATTGTGAAGCTATTGTAAATTGTCTCAGTGCCATGATAGGTGCATAAAGAGCAAAATCTAATCACTCACTTCTCGCGCAGACCTTTTGAGAAGTCATCAAAAGCCACGTTTAATTTCCACCAGACAACATCTATTATTATAGGATGATTGGTGGTAGGGGGCTTGGTTTTGACTTTGAGAAAGCAAGCGTGAATGATATTTGAAAGATGACAGCAAGTGTTCCTTCGTTGTTGTTTCTAGGAAATGGTTATTTAGCTTTTCATCTCGGTCTAATATTGGGGTTCTCAAGCCTGTTATTTATTTATGTATTTATTTATTTACTTTTGCGGAGAGAGGGGGATAGTTCTTTTTTTTTCTTCTGAATTCCTTGTTCTGCGTCCGAACATTGGCGCAAGCAGGATTATGGGCATTAACTTTAAAGGATCAGAAAAGAACAATAAGTTGTCACTTTCACAATAGTTACTGTCCTACATATGATCTGATGAAAGCCATTTTTTTAATGGCTATAGCTAAATCCCCCATAATGTTTTTTTTTTTTTTTTCATTTAACCCCAAGCAAGGGAATAAAGCTACTAAGACGCAAGAGAGTTACTAAGCGTTAGAGAATATGAGAAAAATATATTATTAAGGAGAGAGAAAATTAACAGATCTAGAATTACGACAGGCGATAACGAATGACATTGCATTTAAATTTTTGAAGATCTAAGCTGACTGGGAAACAAGAAGTTGGAGTGTTCCACAAGCGAGAAGTGCTATAGAAGAAACGGTTACATCTAGCCATTTCAACTGTAAAATCATGAGACCTTGTCATGAATCTAGTAATATGTTTAAATTCATAAAGGTGTACGTACCGTAGAGGAAAGTTCATCAGAAGAATTACCATGAAAGTATTTATAGAAAAGGCACAGGGAAGCTATATTACGGCTGTGGGAAAGGGACTAAAGCCGAGATACCAGGTCCGATTGAAGATTCTTTGGATTTTATCAAGAATCTCTAAACATATAGAAGGGTCACCAGACTTACATATTTATAAGATAGCGAGATAATGTGTCCATCACGACAGAAAGAACCAAGTCTAATACATGTTTTGTTTATTATATTTGTCAATTTTATTATGTTTAATTTATTCATTTTATTTATTTTGATTCATTTAAAGACAAATAAAACAATCGTGATCAATGTTTTGGTAATATACTGACTGTTTTTTTTTTTTTTTGTTGTTTTTTGCTTTTGTTTTTGGTGGTGGTGTTTGTTTTTTTTTTTTTTTTTTTTGGTGGTGTTGTTTTTTTGTTATTGGTTGTGTTGTTTTTTTTGTGGTGTTGTTGTTTGTTTTTTTTGTGGTGGTGTTGTTGTTTGTTTTTTTTGTGGTGGTGTTGTTGTTTGTTTTTTTGTGGTGGTGTTGTTGTTTGTTTTTTTGTGGTGGTGGTGTTGTTGTTTGTTTTTTTTGTGGTGGTGGTGTTGTTGTTTGTTTTTTTGTGGTGGTGTTGTTGTTTGTTTTTTTTTGTGGTGGTGTTGTTTTTGTTTTTTTTTTTTTTTTTTTTTTTTTTTTTTGTTGGATTTTTCGTGTTGGTGTTTTGTCGTTGTTATGGGATTTTATAACTGATCGTAAGTCCGGTGTTGTTAAACGTGCAAGTTGTTAAATGCGGAGTGAATGTATTAAGTTGGCTTGAAATATATTTTTCGAATTATTCTAATTTACCCACTTGCGCATTCATACTCCGATAACCACTAAACCCCATAATTTTTCTTCTTTTTTTTTATCACAAAATTTATGCTTTCTTTTCCTTCTTCATTCGAACAGTCCGCCATTGTCATCAAATAGTCATAAAAAAAGACCCTGTCAATCGTTACAGGCAAAAATGAAACAAACATCCTTAGCATATTATATTAGTAAATTGCGTGCTTTTTTATATAATAGCACTTAATACACACACACTTTAAGCAGAATTTATGCGCAAAGAAACCTGGTTGGTCTAAGGCCGGTCGATTTAACAGAACGAACGCTCGATACAAGAGAGCAACAGATCTGTTGTTGCAATGTTGGCATTTTTTAATATCCCGGGAGAAGTCTTCTAGATGCCGAATGACGTTGCTCTTGTTCGTTTGACTATGTTTCACTTAAAATCGAAGCTGGTCACTGAACGAATTCGGCTACAAGTCACTTTTGCTCCACTATGCGTACATATATAATTACGCCGCCCCCTTTTCTCTCATTCGATCACATGATTTCTTTATTGCATATCAAATATCTTGTTCGATTGCTCGCCCGCACACTTGCATACATTTATAATTTTTTTAAAAATCTCACTTTCGTTTTCTTTTTTTTTCTTTTTCTTCAATTGACTCGTCTATATACGCATGCGCACATCTGTCCGCTATCTCTTTTCTATTTACTAAATTGACTTAATACGACACAAAGCGAAATAGCAAGAAATGTGGAAAAGTTTTTGTTGTGTTACTCTTTCTCGTGGTGAGGCTGCCTGCCTTGAAAAATTGTCATTCGATTGTTTTGTTTTGTTGGTTTTTTGTTGTTGTTTTTTGTTGTTGTTTTTTTCCGTTTTGTTTGATTTTTGTATGGTTAACCTGGGCTTGAATACAGACTTCTGGAAAAAATGTAAAATATTTATCTATATCAACTTCGATATACTTAACCTATTAACTATTCTTATTTGCTTAATATAAAGTTTTAATAATTAGTGGCGTTTGGGCACTTTGACTGAGTAGTGAGTTCGATCGTCACTGGGTATCTCATAGTTGAGGTCTTGTGCCCAAAAATAAGCTTAAATATTTTGGGCGCTTCAGTGTGGGTTAATAGTTAGCGAGCTGGCCTGGTATATCCTAATTACTGAGTCGTGAGTTCGATCCTTACAACGTGCCCCATACTTGTAGCTTTGTGCCAAACCAAACTAAGCTTAGTAAATAACAACTTATTGAAAAATATCGCACATTTCTTTGAGTGATGGGGAGCAAGCTTCGAATAACATCAATCCTCACAGGGCTTTGTTTTTTAAACTACTGCTACTAATAATACCATTACTATTTGTAGTATTAATTTTCCGTCCATATTTCTGTGTTGAGGTTATGTACACTATTTACATTATTCGGATAATTGTCCTCATCTTTGTCGCCATATTTATTACAACGTTTCGGCCGTTGTATGCTCCGGCCTTCAAGGACACATGGCACAGTGGATAAAGGCGTT